CTATCCATATACATACATGCTCTATATCTATCCATATACATACATGCTCTATATCTATCCATATACATACATGCTCTATATCTATCCATATACATACATGCTCTATATCTATCCATATACATACATGCTCTTTATCTATCCATATACATACATGCTCTATATCTATCCATATACATGCATGCTCTATATCTATCCATATACGTACATGATCTTTATCTATCCATATACATACATGCTCCATATATATGCATATATAAATGGTTCTATAGCTATCTATTTACATCCATGTACAATTTAATATTTACAAATATAGATCTATACTTACATACACGATATATCCAATACACTATATCTTTGCAACCAAATGTCGTCTACAGACCTTAGATATTTCAAACTATAAATTCTGTTTGAAATATCAAAGGTTTACAACATCAGGTTCCAAAGATATAGTGGTTCTAATATTTGAGTTTGTGGCAAAGACATAATTCCTTCAAATGATTTCCGAATGTATCTTCCTTTCAAACGGAAGTTCTTAACATTTTTTAAAGTTTAGTCAATATCTGAATAAAGAGCCCCCATTAAAGGGGACAAGAAAAGTAAGTAGGTTATTTTGAATATGAATGGGGGGGGGAGGTCTAACGATTTGAAAAACGTGATTTACGTTTAGTATTCAACCCATCATCTGTACAATCGAACAAAAACTCCCCCTCTGCCCCCCCCCCGTCTGCCCTTGGGCTTTCGATACTGTCTGCTTTCAAATCCACCCCTCCACCCTATGTTCCCCAAATACCCCACCTAAATCCCCTAAAAAGGGTCCATTAATCAGCAAAGTTTTGAATTCCAGACAAAAAAGGTTTTTAACATTCAACTCCGGGTTTGTCTATACAAGTTACAAAATACAAGGTTGTATTTAAGTTACAAAATACAAGATACAAGGTTGTATTTAAGTTACAAAATACAAGATACAAGGTTGTAGTTAAGGTAAAAGATACAAGATACAAGGTTGTATTTAAGGTACAAAATACAAGATACAAGGTTGTAGTTAAGGTAAAAGATACAAGATACAAGGTTGTATTTAAGTTACAAAATACAAGATACAATGTTGTATTTAAGTTAAAAGATACAAGAATTATTAACTTAAATCTAGTTTTTAGCATATCAGGAAATCCATAGACTTATCTGTCTATCTTCTTGTCTATCCATCTCCTTATCTAAGAATACAAGTCTATTTTTATCTTATTGTTTGACTACATTGCTCCGCTGTCAGCCTGGAACAGGAGACATTTTTACTCCACTCCATTTACGGAGAAGGCGTGCCTTTTAAGGAACAAGATTAAGAGAATAGAGGATTTTATCAAGATTTGTTTTTTTTAAGGCAGATTTCTAAACCCTTTAGTTCCTGTACGCTGTACATACCGTACACTGAATGTACAAGAGGTACTAGCAGTACACATATATATATTCATGTACCCCTAATCTATATGTACATATATGCTGTTAAATGAATAATATTTTACTCTTATCCGTCAAAAATAATTTTCCATATTTTGAAATAAAGAATTATTTAATGTTTTCATCTTGACCTCAAAGTACAAAAAAATCTAAAATCATTCCCGCCTCAAACTTTCTGTATGCAGGCATAGGGGATTAGCCAGATGGTAGAAGGGGTTGTGTTTGTGATCATGAGAATACTTGTTTAAATTTAAATCAAAAACTCTAAAACCTTGCCAAAATAAGAATAGTTTTGGGCACACAATTTGCATTCTTTTCTGTGTGCGAATCCATGCAGATACCTTCACTTCCTCGATCATGGTGAATACTGTACTTCCTGTGACATTGAATCTTAAGCANGTCTCTATCTTTATTAATATCCAAGCCCCTCCCCCTCCTCTACCAAAAAATTCGTATGTTTTTATTTTTCTCTTAGTTATTATCTCAAAAAAAATTCAAAAATACAGGAGGTTGCGCGATTATTACGTTTAAAAATAATTAAACATTTTATCATTTTTAACAATTCGATATCAATCAATAATATCTTTGTTTAATTGTCCCCAGTCTTAATATTTTTGTTTCACAGTAAAATATTTTGATTGAAATAATTGTTTTATACTGAGATTCTTTTTCCGGGTTTATTAGTGTGCGCTCTGTTGCCGTTTCATTTAATCAAAATTTACAACTTTATATCATCACATACAACGCATTTAAACATTCATTTATACATTCATTTATACATTCATTAATACATTAATGCATACATTCATTTATACATTCATTAATACATTCATGCATACATTCATTTATACATTCATTAATGCATTCATTTATACATTCATTTGGAAATTTATTATATATATATTCATCTTTACATAACCTACGTTCTACATTTTTATCCTTTACTTTCTAGAAATTCAATTTTGTAATTCAATATTTTTTATAAAAATTTTCTAAATTTTATTTTAAGATATTTCCTAAATTTTCTCCAAACATTGTTAATGGATTTCAGTCCTTGTTGAAAGTTAAAGAGGATAACGAGGACAGTCTATTAAAAAAAGTTTTGAAGATTGATATGGTTGCGGGTTCTGAGGCTGTAAAGCTGAGGCTGAGAATCCATTTTAGCGACCTTGGGACCATCCTCTCCATACAGGAAGTTTCAAGGGGAAACTAAGTTTTCTCAAAACAGAATAATTCCATAAAATCATCATTCATCAACATGTTCAAAAAGATTGGCTAATGGATAAAATTTCAAAAAAAAGTTGAAATTTGAATAAAAATCATAATTTTTAATTATAAAATTATATCTATTGATCTAAAGAGGTGTTTAACTATGTAAATAAACTGGTTTCTGGGTTTAAATACAGGAGGGGGGTGTAGTGTACTCTATACAGGAGGGGGGTGTAGTGTACTCTATACAGGAGGGGGGTGTAGTGTACTCTATACAGGAGGGGGGTGTAGTGTACTCTATACAGGAGGGGGGTGTAGTGTACTCTATACAGGAGGGGGTGTAGTGTACTCTATACTATATATATTATTAAGGAACCAGGCATACAACAAAGGTCATTTCAAGGTGCTTGTACTTCAAGGGCCTTTCAGTCAATCCATATTTATATTATTCTAAACACTTATTCAGAATGTTTTAAAATAAAAGAGCGGCTAGTTTTTGTATAAAAAAATACTAATTTGGTTACAAATTTTCAACTCAAAATATCATTAAAAAAAAGGTGGTTAAATTTTTTTTTTTAATATCATGTTTCCATTCATTAATATTTTTGTGGTTGTAATTGTGTTTTAAAGTATACTAGTGGATGGGAAGTGGGATGTGGGAAGTGCGAAGTGCATGAGAGGGAAGTGTAAGGTACCGGGGGGAGGAAGTAAGAGGTTTCGTGAATTTCGTTCGGGAAGAAATATAAAACTCTTCGAGGTTGCGTGATTTTTTATCCCAATATATTTACTTTTTAAAAACTTGAAGTGAATCGGATTATCGGATAGACTGATCGAGTTCATTACAAATTGCAAAATGCAAGACAGGGTGTCACTGAATAAACAGAAACAGTGAATACCTCGTAGCTCCTATAGTTTTGATATTTCTGGTACAAGTTTGTGACCTAGTAGTTCCTCTAGTTTTGATATTACTGGTACAAGTTTATGACCTCGTAGCTCCTATAGTTTTGATATTACTGGTACAAGTATGAGAAATACACCTTTATACGGTTGCATATTAGCAATTTAAAAATATTTTGATTTCAGTGAAGTTAATCTAATTTAGTTGGACGTAAATTCGCAACTCAGCTATATTTAAACCTATTACTTAAATTATTTTGTTAAAAATTTAAATTTGAAAAAATAAACATTAAAAAAAGTTCATAGAGGACAAAAGAAAGGAATTGAGTTTTTGCCACAAACTCTGATTTTCTAATCCCAATATCGTCGCAACCCAATAACGTAGACCTTAGATATTTCAAACTCTGAATTCAAATAGATGAACTAGTCTAAGCTTGAAATATAAAAGGTTCACATAATAAGGTTGCAAAGATATAGGAATTAGAAAATCTTAATTTATGGCAAAGACTCAAATCCTTTGTAAATGCTAGAAAAACAACCACGCAGAAATGTTACTCAATTTGTATTACAGTTATTTTATTTGAAAAGAGAGAAATTTATTCATTTTCCATTTTTTTCCTTCTTTCATTCAGATTTTAGCTGGTAAACATATATCCCTTTTTTCCAAAGTTGAGATGGGTATATATATATATATATATATATATATATAGTGTGAAATACACAGCACATCTTTGATGGTATTTGTGCTTTTTCTGAGTATAAAAAAGGACATCAATATTTTTTTGGTTTCTTTGTTTTTCTATTTTATTTCTTAGTGCTTAACATTTTCTCTTTCTCTTTTGTAATTTTATAGTTTTTGTTTTCAAAATTTTTCAATTTTCAATATACGTATATATTAAGTCAAACAGCCTAATTTATGTTTTAATAAAATATTTTCATGTTTATATATTTATATTCATTTCTTACATTATGGAATTTTTATGTTATTTGTGAAATGTCCATATAAGATAATTTATATTTTTTTCTAGATTTTAATCCATTTATTTTCATAACTTCATCGTAGTAATTTTTAATTTTTACTTTTATCAACCCTTCTTTCTGATCCCTTAACATGGAATCCAGGATGTTTTGATCCTTAATAACTGCAATGTACGGGATTAAGGAAGGGATTATAGATTCATATCAGATAATAAACATGGATTAACTCACCCTCATAATCAAGGAAGGAATCGTAGATATTTGGTTTGGACAAAAGTTCGTCTATAGACAAGGAAAAATGTACAAAAATCATAAGATAAAAAAGAATTTATTTTTAAAATGAATGAAAAAAATTTATTTTGCACATTTTAACTTGCTTGCCTATAAGAGAATTTTGATTGTGTGTATTATGCGACACTACTGACAAACACAATGCTGCTATATTTGCCATTTTTAACTTTTTTAACTAAAACTTGTTGTATTTTAACTTTGTTTTTTCACTTTAATGTTTAGTCTGTAGATGTGTAACTCATGCTGACAGTTCTAGACTAAAAACAAAAACTTGAAATTTATTTTCAAAAAGTCTCAATTGACACAAAACTGTCTTAATTAGATTTAAGGATTGAAAGCATCCTAAACAAGCGGAATATTTTCGAAAATATATTTTGTACATTTGACATATTTTCCCACATAAATTCTACCAGATAGTTTTAGGTCAAAATTTAAACAGAAAAATGAACTTTTTCAGTCGGTAAATGTAAATATTTCGATTTTGTCCCATTTTAGAAAATCGGCAAGAAATCTGAACGTGTAAAGCTTGAATAGAAAAATGAGGCTAAGGACTCTTCACAAGTCAGATGTTTTTTATCTTTAAGTCAAGTTTTTGTACCGGTCGCTTGTTATCCAATGAAGGATTGAATCTGACTGAATGAGGAGAGTTCGTTTACCTCTATCCGTACACCATAGTATATTTACAGGGACATTATAGAAATATTCTCTCACAAAATATCCGTCCCGGCTCTGAGATTTAATTATCCAACAGGGGTTTCTGACATGATGAATTACCGGGAAGAGAAACTAAATGTGAAGAAGAATAACCCGGGTTTGAACTGTCACTACTGCGGCTCAAGCGCAAATTAGAAAACAGGTTTTACGCACACAGTGGCCTCTCCGCGCGTAGAGAAAACAGGAGCATGCATGGAAAGTAGAGCAGAGTAAGCGCTTAACCCCCCCTCTCCTCCACCCCCTCCCTCATCCCTTGTAGGGGGTAACGAACCTAAAATTGACCTCACCCAACACCGGCTTTTAATAGGTTTACACATTTTTACAATCTTAACAAGACTGCAATTGTCACTTGACTTGAAAACCAACAATTGTCCGAAAAGAAACGAAATAATTTGTAAATGCCTACAAGATGTCGTGTGAAAGCTTGATCATGCTTTCTCCCGACCCTAAAATGATTTCTACCCTGCCCTGGTGTGAATGCCCTGAATCGAGAGAAAGCAAAGCTTTCCCTCCAACTTCGAAAGAAATCTAGAAACTTTACGTTTTAGGACGCAATTTGTTATTTCCCCCTTTTCCCTGGCACTACACAACTAAAATACACTAGAAAGGGGTCGATGCCTTTTCCATCAAATTACTCCGGGTGAGTGAAAAGGATAATATCCGAGAGAGAGAATTTCTGACAAAATAGCTTTGAGACCAAAAAAGTTTATTTACATATGTTTCCCCTTTTCTTCAGTAGATAAAAACACTTAACATTAAAATAACTTGAGGAGCTTCTGGAAAGAAAGAAAACGAGATGAAAAGGGACGGAGGTTGGGAAATGGAAAAGGGTGAGAAAACATGATATTTAGAACGGAAATGTAAAGGGAAAACAAGTAGAACTTGGGGATGAATAACAATTTTGTAAACAATTTTATAACAATTTTGTAAACAATTTTATAACAATTTTGTAAACAATTTTATAACAATTTTGTAAACAATTTTATAAGAATTTTGCAAAAAGAATTTGTAAACAATTTTGTAAACAAAGGAATTGAGTCCTTGTCACAAACTTTTTTTTTCTAATACCTATATCTTTGCAACCCATGCAATGTCGCAGACCTTAGATATTTCAAACTTAGAATTCTGTTAGACCAAGTAAGCTAAGTTTTAAATAATAAAGGTTTACGCCAAGGTTGGAAGGATTTAGGAACTAGTAAATTCCAGTTTGTGGCAACGACTCAATTGCTTTGTACATAATTTTGTAAACAAATTTGAAATTAAACATCTGACCTAAGAATAGAACACTGTTGGTTCTTGCTGCAGGGTCTGTACTGTATTTTCTGTTGAATAGATCGACGGAAGAAACCCTAAAAATAAAAAAGAAAATTAACTCCATCTTGTCAGAGATAAACAGGGTTTTTACTTCAGACAAATAGACACATTTAAACTCTTTGGAAAATATGGACAGGGAAATAAAGACAAAAATGGGTCAGAAAGAAAGGCAACTGACAGAGAGAAAGGCAGATGGACAGATAGAAAGTCAGATAGACAGAGAGAAAGACAGGTCGATAGAGTGTACTGAAAGTCAAATGAACAGAAAGAAAGGCAGATGGATAGAAATAAAGGTAGGTAGACAGAGAGAAAGGCAGATAAAAAGAGAAAGGCAAGTAGACAAATAGAAAGGTCGATCAGATGGGACAGAGAGAAAGGCAGACGGATAGAGAGAAAGGCAGACGGATAGAGAGAAAGGCAGACGGATAGAGAGAAAGACAGACGAATAGAGAGAAAGGCAGACGGATAGAGAGAAAGACTAGATGGATAGAGAGAAAAATAAAATATTTAAATAAATATGAAGATAGATAGATAGATAGAAAATGAAAGAAGGCCCATCATACATTGCCATGTCAAAGGCCTAGTTATATATTTCTATAAATGTATAGTTACATTTATACACTGTTTTATATAATAATATATATACTTAGTATATATATATATATATAAATATATATATGCTCGGGGCCAGTCACCCTCTGCAAAATCAGGTCATTCAACTTACTCGCACAGACACGTAACTTACACAAACATACACACACCATTCACACAACAAATACCTGACAGACACACACTCCTTTCACACAACACACCCTGACAAAAACACGCGCATAATATATATATTTTTAATTATCAGCCAAGAATTGAAATCTTGAACCTTAGAATATGAACTGCAGTACACATTTTGGAATCAAAGTTTGTCTATACAGCTCGTAGCTTGTACATAATCACTGCATGATAATAAACTGCAGTTTAAAAGTGTAGACAAAGCTAGCTTTTATTCTAAATCTTTTACTGTTTGTAAATACTTATGCATTTATGGAGTGAACATCAAAATCTTGCAAAATCTCTCCAATGACACATAATTTGATTAAACAAGGTAAAGATAAGAATATTCATCGTAAAAATTAGGTTCAAGTAAATATCATTCAGGACGACAAGGAGAAAATAGTGGAGTAGGACGGATCAAAGTAAAAGGAGTAAGGACGGATCAAAGTTAAAGGAGTAAGGACGGATCTAAGTTAAAGGAGTAAGGACGGATCAAAGTTAAAGGAGTAAGGACGGATCAAAGTAGAAGGAGTAAGGACGGACCAAAGTTAAAGTAGTAAGGACGGATAAAAGTTAAAGGAGTAAGGACGGATCAAAGTAGAAGGAGTAAGGACGGACCAAAGTTAAAGTAGTAAGGACGGATAAAAGTTAAAGGAGTAAGGACGGATCAAAGGTATAGGAGTAAGAATAGGTAATAAGATAAGTTACTGGAGGTAAGACGGATCAGGAGATATAGATAGTTACCGGAGAAAGGATGGATCAAAAGATATAGTTAGTTACCAGAGTAAAGACGGATCAAGAGATAACGTTATTAACCACAGCTATGACTGATCAGAAGATATGAATTACCGGAATAAGGACGAATCTGGCAGAAAATAAAGATAGTTTCCAGAGGTGGAAATAGGGGGGTTATTGGTGATATTTCCCCCCCCCCCGAATCCTGGCCGGGGTTACTGCCCCTACAAGTTACAACTCCTCAAAGTTGCCCCCTCCAAAAAAATCATTCCCAACTGATTAGTCTGCTTTTAACACCTTTAGAAAACATGTGCAAAGACGACTATTTTCATGAAAGTTTAAGTTTTTGAGGCATTTAGCAGACAGCCTATTCATTAACTCCGAGACCTGCTCCTTCACTCGTACACAACTGGTTATAATAAATCATATATTATGATAATGATTTATAATATTTTTGTAGGTCAAGTCAACAATTGAACTTATTTGACTTCATTCTTCATAAAAACAACAGAATAAGTATTTAGTAAATTTATTTTGTAGTTTAATTTGGAAGAGGTAATGCACATTATATGTTTGTTTGAATCTGCAGCTAAGATTTTGAATCTGCTGATTTTTATTTTTTTCCCTGGCTTTAAAATTTTATTGTAAAATAAATATTAAAAAAATCGTTGTTTCTGTCCTAGAGAACGCCCCCTCCCCCTCCTATAAATTTTGTATTTTTTAAAAGATTAGATTAACAGAGACAAATTTATTCCAAAGTTTTGCAGAGTAGTTTTTCTAAATATTTAAAAAGTAACATCTTTTTCCTCTTAGAGTAAAATTATTTTATATATTATTTGTTAGTATTTGACATGTATTTAACAGTATTAACAGAGTAAAAATAAATCCATTTTTTTACATATCTTTGTAGTTAATGTAAAATGAATGACTTTAATGAAGGATATAAAGAAAAGGTAAAAGCTGAAAGGTAGGAAATGAAGCCTTTATTTGATAAGAGTTTTTAATGCCAGAAATGAATGGAACATTTAAATCAAACCCATATAAAACCAATATAATTTGATTATGATATTTTTGCAGGGGGGAAGGGAAAAGAAATTCGGCGCGCGAAGCGCGCCAAATTGAAAAAAAATGTACCCCCCTACAGAATCCTTATTTACGCCCCTGATACTTACCGGAGTAATGACGGATCACAAGATGTAGTTAGTTAGCAGAAAAAAACGGATCAAGAGATATTGTTAGTTACCGAAGTAAAGACGGATCAGGAGATATAGATAGTTAGCGGAGTAAGAACGGAAAAAAAGATAGTCACCGGAGTAAGGACAGATCTGGAAAGATAGTTACTGACCGGGTCAGGAGATAAAGAAGTTTTCGGAATAAGGACCGATCAGATGATCTAGTTACCGGAGTAAGGACGGATTACAAGATGCAGTTAGTTACCAGAGTAAAGACGGATCAAGAGATATTGTTAGTTACCAGAGTAAAGACGGATCAAGAGATATTGTTAGTTACCAGAGTAAAAACGGATCAAGAGATATTGTTAGTTACCGAAGTAAGGCCAGATCATGAGATATATATATAGTTAACGGAGTAAGGACGGGTCAGGAGATATAGTTAGTTACCAGAGTAAAAATGGATCAAGAGATATTGTTAGTTACCGAAGTAAGGACAGATCATGAGATATATATAGTTAACGGAGTAAGGAAGGATCAGGAGATAAAATGTTTTTTTTTTGGAATAAAGACCGATCAGATGATCTAGTTACCGGAGTAAGGACGGATTAGAAGATATAGTTAGTCACCAGGGTAAGGATGGATCACAAATTGCTCCAATCGTTGCATTATCCGAGCCGGTACAACATATACTGTGGATGCATTCAGTCATACTGTCCAGTCTGGACTACAAAGGGTAACGTGAACCAAACACTTTTTTGCAACAAATGAAGTCTGGCAAGATCACGGTGATCAGAAGATATTGATAGTTACCGGAGTAAGGACGGATCAGGACAAATCAGGAGATTTAGATAGTTAACGGAGCTAGTAAGCACAGATTATTGGGATATGGTTAAAAAATGTACATGATGAGGTTGATTTTACACCCCTTTTTTGTCACTTTAGGTAACAAAAATATTTCTTCAAATATTTTTTTATGGGGTTTCAAATTGTGCAATTAAGACTGAAGGTTTGAGGAGGAAAAAGAATTGCAAACTGTAAAGGTTTGTTTGTTCTATTTTAAATATATAAAATTTAACCAACTGGCAGAAATCCTACTAATATTATAAGTAAAGTAACAATGCTAGTAATGTTTAAAGTACTGAAATCTAACACCACACTATGTGTGCAGTATATATCCAAATCAGGCCAAATAATATCATGCCTTTATTTATTCTTTTATAACATGGATAACATTGCAATCATTTATGTTTACGAAATGAAAAGGAAATACGCAATATATGTACTAGCATTTATATAAATGCATTTCACATTTTTCTAGTTTTAAAAAGATTTGTGCAGGTTTCTTATCACCAGGAAATTGACAGTAAAAGGAAAAGGCTAAAACTCCTAATATTCATAAAAGAACTCTGAATGTATATTATAAATAACTCAAATTATGAGTGAGAACAAAAAAAAACTGTAAATAAAAACAAAAAAATATATTGTTGTAATCATGAACTCTGATTGGGAGCAAATAATTCTCTCCGATCAAGTGATCAAATATTTGCGACATCAGATTGGAAAGCATTACGGATTAGAAAATTTGAATTTGTGGCAAAGACTTGATTCCTCAAATTAAGATACAATGCTACAAGGTTTAATGGTAGAAAGGAATATTGATAAGATTATCTTTTCTCACAGAAAAGAAAGGAATTCTAGTAAAGTGTGTAAGATAAGAAAGGAATTCTAAATAATGGAAAGGAAGCTTTACTAAAGTTAGAATTGAACGGAACTTTGGTTGGGAAGAGAAATTTTACAAAATTAATAGATTCATAATATTTTAGAGTTGAAAATATAAAAAAAAACATCTGCAATGAAAATAGATCAGCAAGAAAGAGGCCTCTTTTTGAGAATTGCAAAAAACTCCGGTAAGCTTAGAAAAAGACCTCGGATCAAAAAAAATAACTTTGACATGAAATGCATGAAACCCTTATATTAGGAGTACTAATGCGCAATCAGGAAGAAAAAAACTCTCATTTAGAATGATAAGGAATTCTTCTATATTTATGTTGATAGAAAGTAATAAAATACCTGTAATTTGACTAGAATTGTTGCTTATTTTACCAGTTTTACTTTAATTATAACTAGATATATTTCTCTATACTAAATATATATTTGTATTCACATTAACTTAGTTTTAGTTCATCACTTGAGAGTTTTATGTTCTCCTATTTGTGTATTAAACCACATAATCCACTGTATGGCACCCTGTGCCCCCCCCCCCCTGATCAGGGTAGGCTATGCCCCTTTAAGCTTTAAAGAGACCTTATTCAAGGCCCTACTAGCTCTTAGGAAGGACTAGAACACAAGAGAGTCTGACT